AGACAGTTGTTGAATGTGCTTCTAGTAGCCTACCCAACGACCAGGCTCGGTTGTGACGCGACTGTCATCGCTGCCGCGTCACAGCCGAGTCACACGCACCGCCCCACCGGTCTGCAATGATGAGGACTGTACATAAGTTATCGAACGAGGAGTTTTATTTTGAATCCTAAGACAAAATTGTAGGTAATGCGAGGCTGTTGTTCAGCCTCATATTGCATGAGGCTGAAACAGCCTTTTATTTCCTGTATTTTAGAGCAGAGTGCGCCTTTCGAGAATCCAGATTCCATTTCAGGAAGCCATTTGTGGTGAACATGCATCTGGTTGTCAGTTAGAGCAGGAGGGGGGGGGGGTCGTATCTGGACCCTCTTCGAGGGGGGGGTCGTACCCACACCGCCATTTGACACATCCCATGCTGTACCCTGTCTGTACCGACCGCTATATAGTAGTGTTCGCTGCAGATGCTGTGGTGTTTCGGGGGCAGTGTTTGGAGGCAGAGCCATCCCGTTTCAAGTAGGTTGGTGAGATGCTACAGTGGTGGATAACGAGATGGTTTAGCGCCACACCCCGCTGTCCCCGCATCCGCAGCGAACAAGACTGTACGTCTGTGCCAAACACTTGGATTAACATCCTTTTCAAAATACTCTTGTCTCCTCCTGTCTACCCCTCGCCCGCCCCGCGTTCCCATTGATCAAACGCCATAGTTTTGTGATCCATCTCTTCCTTCCCATGAACTCGCCGGTGCAAGATGCATATCTTACCCCTTCCATCCCCTGTCCGCTGTACAGCAATGTTCATGTTCGATTTGATTACGAAAAGATATCGTTCAAAACAGTTCCGGGAGACAGTCACTTGGCCAAGTTAGTTTGTCTCAATCATAGAAATCCTAATATTTAGAACAGCTCTCAGGCGTCTTTCCTTGCACAGTTAGTCTCTGAGACTAACTGAGGATAGTCTCAGAGACTAACTGTGCAAGGAAAGACGCCTGAGAGCTGCTCGAGCGCGAGCTATCTTCAATCATTCGTTGTTGTCCCTTATCATCTGATCTTGGGAAACATCTTTACTCGCTATTTCTTCTTTGAACCTGAGAGTTTAGCGATTTTGACGGTTCTGATTGTAACTGCTATTATGAAGGAATGAAATCGTTCATTCAAGTAAGCTTCTGCTCATTGATACTGAAACCATAGTAGAAGCGGTTTAGCTGGAGGGAGTGCAAAGATGCGAAGCGTAAACTGATTTTCTATCAGAACTTATCGGTCTTTGCTCACCTATTACTGCTATTACTACTGCTCATGAATGTCGCTGCCTCCACCCCATTTATTGCTTGTTGAAACCACCTTTCTGTTGTTATATGCACACAATGGGTATAGTGAGGGGTTCCCCTAACACCCCTTATCAGCCCTAATCAGCTGTTATCACCTCCTAATACCTAACATCAGTGTACTTATACCACCTCCTGTAACATCTCAGAATAACTATCAGACTATCATCGCGACGTGTACTAGAAGTACTTCAGTGGCGCTTTTCTTCTAACGCTCCTTGCCAGCTCTTAGCAGCCACTATCAGTTTGATTACTTATCACACACCATTTCGTCACATCAACTTCGTCCCTCGTCGATATGAATTCTCTATGGCTAAATCAAAGAATTGTTAGACTTTCCGGTTGGACGCACGCACATAGAGGGCAAAGATTTGATGGATCAGCTCTTTATCATCCCATAACCGCCTCCAATCGATAGCGCCTAGCGCGCAGTGGTAGATGCAATCGAAAACCCCAAAGAAATCAGCTTCCTCTTGAAAAGTCTTGTCCTACTCCTAGAATATGCTTTTCGAGCGTCTTCCATGCCCCAGTGCTGTTGAACAGTCATCATACATTACTCCTTGCCTTTCCCCCTTTTCCTACTGTTGTCTGCCATTCATCAGCCGAATGACAAGAAGTTCATCGCCTTGAGACTGCATTGGTGCTGACTTTTGCTTCCTTTTTGCGGCTACAGTAAGCACGTGACGAGTGCTCTTGCCGGTTAGTTTTGCCGCTAAGTCCACGCTTGCATCTGTAAAGCGAGACATTTACCACAAAGGCACGGTGGTGCGCACATTCCGGCATTGTGGCTACTCTGAACTTTGACCGCCCACAACTCGTTCGGGAAATTTCTCCGCACTTTCAATCGGCACCGGTCACTCCATCGATGTACACAGGTCCTTATTTAAAGATATGGGAACGAAACCGGGATTAGACAGATTACCTTGTGAATTTGTGCAACAGAAATCGGTGAATGCTTTATTGGTGATGACCAATGTTGTCGTCAATTCGATTATTTCCTAATTTCGTTCAGTTAAAACAGTCAGTCGTTTGACCTTTGAACTTGTTGGCAAGGTTCAAAGTTCCTATGTCGTACGTTCTCTGTGGATAACGTCCTCGTGTGATGAATTGGTCGGGTATTGTGATGCTTAGTTTTTTGTAGCACGGCTGAAATACAAAATCATCGAGGAACTGTAGAGGATGAATGAGCTGAACTAAAAACACACTGAGGCGAATGGTTTTCACCTATTCAATCATCGATTGCTTCGAAATGCAGCATGCATGTCAATCGAAAAAAAACGTTCAAAGCATATTCGCAGTTGAAGCCCCTTTCGATCAGGCGTTCAATAGAGAAGAGTGTTAGATCAGACCAAATGGCCGCAACACCCTTTTTCCTCTCACTGAGTAAGTCAGCACAAAAGATAGGGGAGATTTTGGGAGCCTACTACCGTAAATCACAAGAAAAGTAAACGCAAGAGTCTTGAGAGACCTCATCCAGCATCAGGCGCTTTTTGGGCGAGTGCGTCACCCGTTCAGGGCCGTCCGTTACCCTCTCAGGTTGATGGCTTGCTAATAAGGATTATCAGGTACCTCAGTCGATCTACAATCTTTTTCAGTCGTCATAGACGGGAAAGGACGCCTAAGCTGAGCATTCGGGATTCGAACCCTGCCCATCGATACTCCCTCACTTCGCTAACCCCATGAATTTATGGATAGTGCTATATTTCACTAATTGCGCAACAGAAAGGCAAGTATTACACATCAATAGAAGCTGTAGATTGCAATTGAACTCTTCTTGGCAACAACGATTGTACGAATATGATATTGAACGATAGTGGAAAACAGCAAAACAGAGGGAAATCATGCTCTCGCAAGTACTTCGTCACAGAGTGAATTTTGGTCTCTCCTTCAACTACCGAAAATTATATAAAATCTCTTCGAATTGCACTATTCCGGTCCCACGCCTCTACCTCATACAGCGATGGAGAAGACGAATGGCATTACGCCTTCCGCAATATTCTTGGCGCTGCATTTCCCGTTATACAACCACAATCAGCTGTGCATTTCATAGGAAGACGGTATTTAGGACCACGACGAACTCACTGCGATAAAATTAGAGTGTTTGCTTCAGTTTTCAATCACGCTGTTCTCTCTGCTAGGACTTGAATGGTCATGACCATTAAATTTCGTTAATTTGCATAATCGGAGCGATTACATAGCAACTATGGGAATGCATACAATCTCACCACGAATTAATTTGGGTTACACGCTGATCCCTAATCAGTTGACTGTCACAATGCTTTCTATACAGCTCACCTTCAGAGACTATCCTGTTGTCGTTTTGTGGAGGTACGACGGACTGTCTTGTAGAAAAAATAACAGCGAAATGTCACTGCCGCAATAGCAAAACCACCGCGAGCGCGCCGATAGTAACCCTACAGTATTGCAATTGTTGCGCGCGACGCCGCGTGGTTCTTATCGTCACATGTCCGTTAATTTGAAATTGCACAAGTATTACGTTGCATTTAAAAAGTTTGATAATTGTAGAGGCATGTCCTGCACTGAATAAACGGATAAATAAATGAAATAAATGATGTGCATGCCGCTTCGAAAGACTTACCCGCTATTGAAATTCAACAAAGGGCACTAAATAATTTCTCCAACATTCTTCGCTCTACATTACCCATAATAACATCAGATGAACAAGTGCTTCTACGTAACACCTGCTTACCCCACTGTAACCGCATTTGTGGTATATGTTGACTTTTGGATCAATGGTGGTGATCTCTCGTTTTGATCCTGATAGGCGGAACTGCCCGTCGAGGTCCGTTCGTGCTTCATCCATTTTCTTGTCGATAACTGCAATTACTCAGCTATATTTATAGCTTGAACAACTTTTTGTAGGCAGCTGTTTCTAACTGGAAAACGCTTCTGCGTGAGCACAAAATCATGAGTTATTCATTTCGCTATTCGGTTTCATCCGAAGAGTGACCTATCAAGTGAATGAACTTACAGACTTCTTTTTCGTATAGTTTCACTTTGACTTTTGATGCCGGAATGTTATTGCATACAAGTTTGCCCTTAACTGCAACTGACTGCAGTCTACCGATACCAAAAAGGCAGTGACAAAGAGGCAGAAGGGTCACCAAAAGGGCGAAGGTGCGAAGCATCTGAAAACATGGATTTACTATAATATAAGCACTGTGTGGTTTTTCAAGTGATCGCATTTCAAGAAAAAGCAAGAGATGGTGGACATTTGGAGAGATTAAAGGGACCTTGCTAGTTACAAGGAGGAGTCACTTGTAGCTCTCCTTGATAGGCTTCCTCGTCTGAGATTACATGGAGAACCAATGGGGAGAAGAGCACTGATCATCTAACTCCGACCGAACGACTAGCGTGGAATGTTTCTCTGCGAATCCGCAGATGAAGTGGTCAATTCAAGAGCTACTATGCAAGGCTGATTTTCCTATATACCAAGCGTTGTATAACACAGAAAATCATCTGAAGGAACCAGAACGCTTCGAGGAAGGTTAAAAAATTTTTGAGAGTTCTCGCGTCCTTCTTTTCGCGGTATACCATACCGTAATTGAGGCTGACTTTTTCTTTCTGCCGAGTGAGGCTCTCGCAACCTTCATTTGGCCTGCGTTCCGACCATTCTTTTCGTGATTTCGTGGTTTTAGTGTCTATTGCGGGTACGTATACCTCAGTTTCACGAGCTCTGCAGTAACTTACGAAGGATTTTGAAATTCTTTTCGTTTGACACAATTTACATCTTTGCGAAAATCGACCCGAGAATAATACGAAAATGTACCCTAAATCTCCGTGAATACTAAGACTGCTGGTGTGACGTGATGTGATGCCTACGACGTGGATGTTCCAGAAACAAGGCACTCGCTGTTGGGGACCCCACACAAGGGGGTCGTAATTGGCCGTTGGGTGAGGGTGCGGGTCGTACTTGGGCCGAGGGAAATTTTTCATTTGATTTTTCTTGTTTCGGGGACGCTGTAAAGGGGTAGAGGGGTCGTATTCCTCTTCTGACCGTCTCTGGGTGGTCGCTGACTTTTCGCGGTTTTTCCTGTTTCACGTCTGCTATATTTCACCCTCCCCCTCACCCTTCGATAGCTCAATGACTGTAAAATTGAGGGAGTTCCCTCCAACCCCCTCCCCCCGTAAAAAAAGGGGGAGTCGGAGGGACATTGCCCCAATTTCACAGTCATTGAGCTGATGTGCCTTGTTCAGTCAGTTTTTCCATGAGGTCCCAATCCCATCAGTTAAGGAGGGAGAACAAGAATGGTAAAGTATCATAGGCTTTCCAGGTGCATTTCGGCTGGGGGAGAGATATTTTTGAAAAACGCCTGGGAACTTCTATGAAATACAGCGTGTTACGAGCCCCATTTTCACGCCATTTTTCGCACAAGTCGGTCATCCCATCCCAGAGCTCCTTTCCCGCTAGGCTTGGGCCAGATTCCCACCCCGTGGTGAACAATGCATCTTGCTGTACTCAAAACCGTAAAAATCAAAGAAGAAATACACGAGTACTGAAGCCTTCATCATTATATAGATTCTCAAGATTTTGCAGGTCTCCACAAAATGGCCCAGAGAAGGACCTTTAAACTCCCTCTGAAGTAGAACTGCGTCGTCTTATTTCGCATTACCGATCGCAAGTGAATAAATGATGGGATGTTTAAGCTTATATCAGTCCAAAAACAGTATGGTAGCGGCCGATGGCCACTCGTCTTGCCTCGCGTCTCGAAAAGTTGAACGCGGTCTCAAGTGACTTTCCTTTCCTCTGCCGTCATTTACTGAATGAGAAACAACGAGGGAATAGGTCCCTCATTAGAAATGAAGGCATACAGGACAAATGATTAAGTATCCGAACTACAAGGAATATCGATGAATAAACGTGGAGACAGGATCAAAGCCGTGAGATGCCCATCGGCATTGCCATTCCTTGGGATGCGCCACACAAACTATTTCCATACAAAACCTCTAGGAGCAATTGGGTGCACGCAGCTCCTTTTCAATCGAATACAGCGGTGGTCAGGAAAGTCATTCACCCTACAATGTAGTCCGTGCGCTTTGGTTGCCGTTGACCTAGATCGGTTTCACAATTTGGGCAGCCCATTGGCACATGTATGTGATAAGCAATTTTCGTCACACGCGTACTCATCAGTACTTATTTAGGAGTATTTTGGGCTTACCAAAGATAAGCTTGGCAAGGAGATTAGTTGTCTGCCATAACAACACCAACTTTTATATCAGTCGATAATGTTGGAGATAGCGTGGCAAGTCTCTCGTTCAGGTCATCCAGCCACAGTGGGTTTTCGCCACACGCCGAAATCGTCAGAATGATGCCAAGGCCTATTTTTGATATGGATGCGAAACCTGTAGAGGATGTGTCCGTCTGAGAAGTCCTCATTCCGACGGTGCCAGGACCCGTTGAAGCGCAATGATCCAGGAATGGAGTTGAGCAAAACGATGGTTAAGGACCGCCAACATAACTGGGCATATTTACCGTTCCCACCAAGAGATATACCTTCTCCAGGTTGGTGGTGACCTGACCACTCGGGGGACTTGCTCAACTCCCAAAGTTAGATCACAATCAAACAACTCCATGAGCCCGAATGCAAGTTGTGAAGAAGGCCGAAAGCCCCAAGTACTGTACGGCTTACATAAAGCGGAAAATCAAAGCGAGCGGGGAGCAGCCGTTCACAATGGTGAAAATAACGGCAATGTGTCAACCATGCAGCTATAACATGGCTGTGGTTATAAAGTTTTTCGGATTTCAATGAGCCCCGATTATGAAATCGTTATTACTTTTGACACATTGTTGGAAAGCCGATGTCGTGTTCGAAAGCTGATGCCACATACAAATCGTGTAAAAATTTGACAATTGCTCGTTCACAATGACCTTCCTGTCCAAACAAATCGTTTACAGATGCAGGTTTGTAGCGCAGTACAATGGAAATACGACAGAGATGTGAGGGCTGTCAATGTTATACGGATTTACTGAATTTTTTTCGCTTACGCTCGGAGGCAGTTATAGAGAGCCATTGAGTCCGAAGCAATTTATGATCCTAAAACCAAATGTCCTGACCTCCGCACGGAGGCTTGGCACTCCGGAAGATGGGCTTCCTTCCTCAACTAATACCTGTTGTTGGAACAATGACTGGCACTGTGGACGGAGCACAACGCTGTAGGGGACCCCTTAAGCGGGGGGAGGTCGTATTTGAGCTGAGGTGAGAAAAACTTTCTAATAATTGGTTTTTCTTTTTGTTTCAGAGGCGTTGTAAGGGTGTAGGGGCTATTTGTTCTTTGTGGGGAGGGGAGGGAAAGTTGTCGTAATTTTGTTGGGACCTTCTAAGAGCCGTTGCTGACTTATTTTGGTTTTTCCTGTTTCATGTGTGGTATACACCCTCCTCGCAACTTCGAAAGCTCGCCGAGGAGGAACCCGGGGGGAGGGGGGGGAGGCGTATCAACCCTCTGGAAAAGGGGGATCGTACTCAGTTGACCAAAACCACCAACTAATGATGTGCCCTGACTGCACAAGGAGCGACGCTTTGGTTCGGAGCTAGGGTATACACTTTCCACCGATTCCTAACGTGTAGGCAACTGGCACGCAAATAAAGCGCGGCTTCGATCCGAGAGTGGGAGGATGAGCATTTTTTTAGTCCTATCAGTCAATTTTATAAAGTTCCGCGAAGTCCTGTAAAGCCTCCCCGTCAATTTGACTTCCGCCTCAATTTCCTCATTTTTACGCCATCCAACAGATTATTTGGGCGTGTTGTGCTATATTCTATGCTGTAACGCGCTGAGAAACGGTTCTTGGGGGAATTGCAGAGGGAAGGAACTCTAGATGGGAGCATCGATTCCTTTGGATAATGGTCTTCTTATGTGATGAGAAAAGAATCACCTGAGCCGGATTTATTCCTGGCACCATAACCCCCCTCCCTCTCCCCTATTCCTGAGTCATTCCGCTTCTCTTCACATGCTTTCCACCTTGCGAAAAACAAACCTATGCTTTACCTTGCGAAAAACAATCCTACTGTCGCTACGCGGAACTCTATGGGACGTGTGGCCTGTGCAGTGCTGTTGTGAGCAGTCCCAATCACTTCCAGCCGATCGCACACTGTATGTTGTGTAAATAGCTTATGGGGATGGGCGGACTATTTGTGCAAAACCGGGCTTGACGTCATCTAAACAGAATTACCCCCCCCCTGTAATGAGTTGATCAACCTCCGAACTTCTTAATCCCTGTGGGCTTAAGCCTGACTACTCTCTCCTTCCGTAACACTGTCTCTGCAGAAAGAGTCCTTCGACTCTATTAGCGTCTCAAGTGTCAGATTAAAAGTTACCCGAAATTTCGCCAGTAGCGACGCATACAATGTGGAACTTATACCTTCTCTTGGCAAGTTTTATACCTTCTCTTGGTAAGTTTTTTTGAAACTTTTTGAAAACCCTTACTCAGCCACCCGAGTCCCTGACTGGGGCCCAAACTGGTTTCAATATAAACTTTGGCTTCGGAACTGTTTGGCTTGGGAGGACATCTGCACTTTTGAGAGTCTCTTTTGTTATTCTCTGTCAAGTTACCATGGTGAGACCTGTAGACTCTTGTCAAGCGTGAACGAAGCTTCTGCTACTGCATTGTTCTACAGGAGCTTACAGGTCTGCACAGGTCAGTACAGTCGGTCAGTACCGACGATCCCTGTGCATGATGGGACCAGGGAACTGTCCCGTCAAACCGCACTGCGTCCAAACTTGCACTCTTTCGGCAACCAAGTAAATTCTAGCTTTCATATCCGCAGAACGAGCACGAAGTTTCACAAACAGTAGGGGAGATGAAATGCTTGGTTGACCTAGCCGAGTAGTGATCAGCAAAATTGGCCTGTAGCCTCGTGGCCAATACGCAACCTGTGTTAAGTCAGCAGATAATGGACATAAGAATTGCAGGTAAATGAAAAGAAGCGTGTAAACATTTTAAGGGAAAAGAATGAATTCCAGCTTTCTGAATTGCTGCATGAGGATCTTTTATATGAGTAGTTTTCCAGAGTTATTCGGATTATCGCCGCCAACAGACCATTCGATAGTTGTTTTACAGTTTGCTATATGTGCTGCAAAATCCTCATAGTTTATACATGCTAAACCATGTTTTTATTGCTTATGAATTCTC